GGATGGGGCTTTGACACCCTGGTCTAGTGGAAGGGGTCCCTGACCATGGCAGGGGGTTTGGAACTACATGATCTTTAAGATCCCTTCTATGATTCTATGACTGTGCTGGTATTAAACCAGGCAAAGAAAAAAGAAATTTCTTAAAAATACAAAAACCAAGGCTATGGTTAGATCAGGGAGACCTCTGTTTCTGAGGCTGGGGTACACTGCCTGTCTATACCTGGGCTCCTTACTGGGGGTTGCACCACGCACCTCAGAGAGCACCAGTAGATAACTGTAGGTGTACCCTCAATGCAATGTGTTTCTGGGTTGCCCTATGCATTTCTGTAGGTTTGCAGTAACATTTTACTTCTTCAGTAAAATGTTTCTTTTTCTCATGTCTGGTCTGTTTTCTTACTGTTGCTAAAAGGAAGAAAGGGGGTGGGGGCAGAAGGGGAAGCCCACACTAATCCGTGACTACAACGGAAAAAAATGTTTAAGAAACACCTAATCACTCTATGGTTGTAAATCTCCCCTACTTCCCTTGTAATTCCGAAGTTGATGCTAAAAAACGTCTCTTCCATTCTAACTTTTTTTGAATGACACCTGCACGTTTTTGAGTTACTGTACTGCCCACTATTATTAATATTTTCACTGTAGCAATGAAGAAGGGACACACGCTGTGACTTCAGTCCTTCTCATGCCCATTCAACTGTGGCTCTAAAAAGCAGCGCTACTTAAAAATACAGCTGAGTTTTACTGTGCCTTGTTTCTCCATTTCTATTTAAAATGGCCACCATGCAGCAGCAGAGAGGAAGGAGGAATAGCTAGAACATATATTCTAAAGAACATAACTGGTGTTACGAAGGCCACCAACTGCAAAACTAAAGCAACTGCAAGCACCTCTCTTTTGTCTTGACTGCTGAGGATAGCACACACCTTACTTATAAGACAGATCTACAAGAACTGCAAATTCATGCATAAAGATGGCAAAATGAAACACTTGTCTGTAAGGTGCTGTGCTACTGGTTTGATAGTTAGCTCCCATCTAGAAGCCAGATATGATTAATCTTCACCTTGACTACCTGTGGCATAGCTCTCCATCTGAATCCATCCCCGATCATTTTCTTGAAAGTATCTGTGGCTGATTTATCAAAAAAATTACAAAACTGTTCCTTTTTACCAAGATATGAAATTGTTGTTCATTCAAGGATCTTTAACATTGTCATTCTGAAGCATGCCTTTCATTTTGACTTTAATTTTAGGGTGAACTCGAGACCTAACAGTTTTATCACACTTACTTTTCTTGGTCAGGAAGAAATTACATAATCCTTAATACCTCTTACTTTTCAAATCTTCTGTCCTTGGGGAACCAAATTTACCATCTCTGCCAAATTACTATATATTCATGTTTTTGTGATGATTCCTGAATGAACAGAGGCAGTCACTTCAACTGCATCTTAAAATACAGGATTATAAAAATCCACTATGATGTTTGGCCTGAAAGTATGTCCGTATTTTCTTTGGTACATAAGCCTCTCAAATAGAAAATGGTTTATTGTTTTAGACTAGATATTACCAGGTCCTATGGGAAAAACTATAGGATTACAGTTTACCAAACCCAAGCAGTCACCAATTGTGAGCCAGGCTGCAAAAGTCACCAGGTTGGCTTGCAAATCATATTATTTAAAAAGGGCTAATTTTAGTTGTCACGCATTTTTCAAAACAAACCCGTCTTTTATGAGAATGGTTAGAAACTTGTTATTCTACAATCAATGGAACAATACAGAAAGTATAATGTCTTGTAGAATCCATACTGCATGCTTTAAACTGAAGTGAATCCTATTACCTCCCATGACTTCATGATGTCCTCCTCTTCTTTGCCACTGTACCTCTTCATTCCCACAACTTGTTGGGAATGAAGCTAAGTGCAAGAGGTCACCACTATGTGGATCACTGAGTGATAAGCAGGTTTATAACACCTAAAGCATGTCAATTGCTTGGCTTGCTAAGTGGTCAGCGAGGTCATGCTGAAACTTTTCTTATCAGGAGGATCATTTTATCAATTCCCATTTTTCTTCCTGGAAGCTGATAGTCTTCCCAAAGCTTGTATCAAACTGCTTTATTTCCACAGATATCTGCCCTCATAAAAAATTTAGTGACAATGTGTCCAGCTAGTTTGATATGTACTGGGGAGAATAGGGTTGACAGAGAAACAGTGTGGTCACATAAGCTTTTCTTTAAGAAACCATGTTGAAAACAGAAGGTAATGATCTCTTTCTGATTTTCAGTGTAAACCAACTAAACATTCTCATCCTGACAATAAATAACCCATACTGATTTTGTTCGGTATAATACTCATCTCTTAAACTGCCTGCCTCCTACAGAATTTTCCGCTGAGACCCCAACCAGCTAAACAGCATTGGAAGCACTGCTGGGCAAAGGTAAGGAACTCCCAAATTAATCACACATTATTCTTCTGTGAGGTCGGCTTGGAAAGATTGCGTCTGCTGCATGGTAACAGATGCCAGAGTGCTATATCACCTTCACCTTGGATTTCTGAAGACTAAGCAGGCTAAGAACTGATACCAGCACAACTTAAGGGAGTGTTTCAGCATTTTAATTTGTGTTGGTTTACAAGTATAAAAGAAAACCTATGTATCAGATCTTGCATACTCTTATACACAATCCCTTGTGTAACTGAGGACTATTCAAGTGAGTACAGTTTTTAACAGTAGCCTTATACTCTTCCATTCAAACCATATACCTCTAACATTCATAGAGGAGAGTAAAACCACAGTCAACCTGCAGCAAGACATCGCTCATTCATACACATACATCCTTTGTAGCTAATACTACCCTCAGTGCAGACACTGGGTGTGCAGGTAACAATACTGCCTAGACTGTCATTAATCTGAGAAAAAACTGCTTCTCCTAACACTACAGCACGCTTTAGAAAAACAAGCTTGTCCTTTAAAACAAAGGTCTTAACAGAGTATCTTTGTTTCTATGGCTCCCTGTCATACCTTCTTTATATCAGCAATGGCAGCACAGCTAGATCAAAACACAGATAGAGAAGCAACCCTGTTAGTTAACCGGCACTCCATGCTGTGGTGACATGAGGCACTGCAAAAGCAACGGCCCTCATGTTGATGGAGTGTTTAAACTCTTTTTGGTTAGTCTGCACAACTAAAGCAAAACCACGCGACAGCAATGTAACTCATACAAGTATCTTTTTTAATTTTCCCTCTCATAACAGTGATTTAAATATTCAGTTCCCTATGCATGCACTTCAGGAGATTGGTATAAAAATAGGAAGTAATATGGCACACTTTCTAAAAATATGCATATACAGTAGTCTTCTTCATTGGTATGTGAAGGTAAATGGTACTCAAAATGTAACCACACTGGACTCCTGGCTGTGTAGCTCTCCTACTGCTGACTTCGCCATAGCACAAACACTTTACCAGCTGAGGTTTGTGAAGCTTCCACTGTTTCTAAATGGCAAAATCACAACTGCACCGTCACTTACAGTATCTGCTTTAAGGATTTGAGAGCTCTCTCTTTAGATGTGAAGTACTTCTACATATGAAACCACTTTTTTATTCTTTTCTCTCCAAAGACTAATGCTTCAGACCAAGGTACATCTGTAGATAGGCAACAGCCATAATTCCCTGATTATTGATGAGTACCCAACTATAAAGTCAGATTCTCAGTTTTAGCTAAGAACACCTGAAAATGTGTCCCCATGTGCTGAACTCTGCAGGTTTAGAAGCAAGGAGGTTACGTTCTCACTTGCTCCTTTAACTCACTACTGTGAAAAAAATAGAATAAAACAAAACCCAACAAAGCTGAAATGTTCTTCTACATCTAAAAAGGTACAGAGAAATATTACACTGTACATTTACACACAGAAGTGCAGAGAAATACTGTAGTGTCTTCAAAGCATCACTTCACTATTCAATGCTCCTCGGAGAGAGAAATTAGAACTGAAGTGTTTAGGTGTTTTCCCCAGACCCATGAGGTACATTCCCATGGCAAGCCCAGGCCAAAAATTCCCATTGCCACCACCCCAATAATTTAATGAGAACTACATACACATACCACACAGAGACAAATATTAAGCAAAATAAAAAAACATAACTCCATTTTAAAACTGAAGTATGAAGACATTCATTTACCGTGCAGTAAAGGAAAAAAAAAAAAAAATCTTAGTTCTTTGCAGCACTGCATGTGACATATTTCATGATAAATTATCTCAGACCTGAACTTTAGACACATCTAATACAATGACACTGAGGTCATCCCAACTGAAGAACCTCCATGATCCTCCATGATGATAGGATGGAGGCTAAGCTTAGGACACTAGTTGATGCTTTTGGTCATAAATTGTTTCCAGTAGCACCTATAATGAGTAATATTCAAAAGAAATGCAAGGTGCTAAACAAAGTGCAAAAAGGTTTCACTCAATTTTTGAAAATAAAATTGGTTTTGTGTATTTCCACTAAACTTTTGGGTGTCCATATGCTAAAGCTTTCTGAGCAACTTGCAAAATACAGAAACACTCTTATGCATGATGATACAGGGCATAGAAGTCAACTTCCATTTCCTCTTTCAGATTTCAAGCCTGTGATACTTCTGAGGTAAAGAAGTCACTGAGTTGCCTGCTAGGTGTACTACCAACCCCCTGACAATCAGGGCAGTGCTTATCTCTTAACTTCAGCCATCTAAAAAGGAGATGGATAGTCAAAACTAATTGTCAAGGCATCTGGTTAACACTGAATAATAGGTCTCCAGAGAATGATTCGTATCACTTGCCTTAAGAGGACATTTTAAGATGGATTGAATCACTCACTCCCTGGAGATGTGCATTCACACGACTAGTTCACACTATCTGCCCAGCTTCCAGGTATTTAGAGTTATATAAAGTGAACACCACCCTAATACCAGCTGATCACAAACAAAGTATGAGACAAATGAAAATGTCAGAGAAATTAGCTATTCTAGAACATTCCAATTAATGTGCTAAATTTAATCCCCTTACTAACAAGCAGCAAATGTGAAGGGTGAAACAGTGCAAAGCCAATAACCCCTCTGTCCATTCTCAGTAACAGTCACATTTCAGTATTAGTGCTGGCTAATGGGCTGTTTCTTGGCAACCTAGACTACAGTGCATTGTAGAAGTCCGATTCTTATACCTCAGAGAGAAGTATTATCTTATTACACTGATTAGAGTGTAAAAGCCTGCAATTTGATCAAAGCAGACCACAGCTACAGTCAGTATATAGTCAAGGTCTATGCTCTGTTTCCATGCTAGGGTGGCATGCCATAATGGTATCCTATCTGAAATAAAATGCATTTCCTTCCATCCTCACATTTCCTGAGTAAGATGAGCATCAGGCCAGTTCTTGAAGGTTGTCTTCTATGACTGCAAAATAAGCATGTGATAATAAACCTATTTCCAAAAAACTCTGAAGTAGAGTTCTCCAAACAAAGATTGCTCTCAGTACACAAACACACATAGATACACATACTCATACACTACATTTTCCACAAAGGTAAGCTTGTCAGTTGTCATGCAGTACTACACCTGAAAGAAAGTAATCCCATCCACAAGACACAATGTCCAAGATACACAATGTTCCCAGCAGGTGATCTGCCATCTTCCCAAGGCACCTACTTGCTTCCAGATGTATTAGGCATTGGAAGAAACACTTTGATGAGGATTCCCCTTTTGAGAATCTATTGTCTTGCTACTGCTCCGTACTTCGTCAGAATTTGCAGATTTCACCTCTGCCTTGTCTATCAGTATGCTGGATTTGGGAGGCTTGCAAATAAAGCACAGGAACTTGAAACAGGACAGCAAACCTTCAGAAATGCTGGATGAGAAGAGCTTTTTGCATGGGTGGCAGAACTGGTAGAATACCAGCATGAAAAGGATAGCCATGCAGTATCCTATCAGGAGCTGCAAGACCAACAGTGGGGCACAGACATACAGGTAGATATCAGTTTTATAGATGTACCACATCAGCAGGAGGAATGCATTCTCGATGAATCGCAGCATGTAATACACAGTCAGTCGGTACCAATTTTGGGATTTGTTAATTAAGTCAGGATCATTGAGCTTCACCTGCACTGCTGACCAGCAGAACATGTTAATGCCAGCATACAGGAAGGTGAGAAGGCACAAGACAATGGTAGTGCCGACCCTGCTCAATGCCTTCTCTATGTTCTCGGGAAATGGGGACTTGCTTTGCCAGAAGAGAATCCATGGGTAGAAGAAAAACCCAAAGAAATTCACTAACACAACAGGGAGAATCCAGATTTGAAGGACTGAACTGAAAAGGACCAACACCGTAACCCGTATTGCAATCTCAAAGCTTCTCCACATGAATATGCAGAGGTAGGCGGCTGGTTTCACGCTGACATCATAATCGTCATACTTAATCTTAATAGCCAGGATGTTGCAGCGTAAGGCACCATACACAATTGACAGGAGAGAAAGGACCATAAAAATACCTACAAAGAGAAAAGACAGATCAGGACCTTCAGCTTAGCAGAAGTTAAAGACAGTTGTTTTCACAGCAAAAATCCCCCATTCCTTGTATACACTTCTGGGTTCTTACTCTAACCCTACTTCCTACTTCAGTCTCCATTTGTTACTTTTCCAAGTAGCTAGAAAGAAAAAAGGCACTTAACAGTAAGAAGCATCTCTCCTCCTCCCCCTGATGAGGGCTGTTTGTACATACACTGTCCTTGGTAATTGTATAGCTCAGTCATAAAAGTATCCAACCCGCTCTCAAACTCCCACAGTATTCCACAAGGCAGAGGGGTGCTACTCCCTCTCCGCATAGATGAAAAACTGTAAGCAGAAGCTGAAATTTTGGAGTTATTTGGGCATGCAGATACCTCATTGCTTGTGAAGCTCTGTGTTGAAGCAAACTGTCTAAAATGAAAAGCTCTGTGATGGAGTTCAAAATTGAAAGCCAAAGCAATTTAAACCCAGAACCATCTGCACTTTCTCTGCCTGTGCAGACACAGATCTGCACCTGTGTAGAGATCTGCTCACCTGTTTACACTGTGTTTTCCTATACACCTACCTGTATCATGCATTTAAAATCAACACTTCTTTTAAAAATGTCTATAAGTTCAGATCAACTTTCAGCATCTCCCATCTACCCAGAAACCCTCAAGTGAAGGTTTCATGGCTTTAAATTCTCAGAAAGTGAAGGCAGAGGCCAAGTGTTACCTGGCAATAAACTTTCTGGCATTCCAGGGGTCTTGTCTTGCCACATCAAGTAGGTTCAAATGTACAAGAACCCTGGATGCATAGAACAAGCATCCATTGAGAAAGTACCTTGATGCTCAGAAGTGCTAACTGCCCAGTTTTGTTAGCATTTGCGTACTTTCTTCACAGTTTTTACCGACACGCTGATTAGCTGCTGATTAAGGGGACTAATTTTAGGCATCCCCAATCAATACTTCTAGTTTCAATCTAACATTTGTCCATTCAAGGAACAATTTAAATGCAAATGAGTTAAGCATGGTTAGAATTATTTGTTTCTTTTATAATTTCAATAAAACTAACCAAGCTACATGCTACATGTCATGCTACAGAACATGATATTGCATCAGATATAATAAAACCACCAGAGTAGGGAATTCTTGGTCATGTTAATTACTGTTGCATTGCTTAGCAACCGGTGCTTTCTGCAGCCTTCAATTAGTTTATGTTTCAATATCCTACATATAAACTGGATTCCCTGATTTGCTATAGCTCTCTAGCCATGACTATCAGGATTTTTTCTAATTAAAGTTATTCATTTATAAGCATGACTTTGAAATAAACAAGTGTATTTCAGGATCTCTAACGACTTTCTAACTGGATTTTCTCTATCATTTAGCTAATCTCTCTCCCACCCTGATCCCCAAGCAGCTCTGAATTATTTTGGAAAATAATTAATCCTTTATATCTATTTTTCCAATAGCACTAAGTAAGCTGAAAAATATTTGCCTTATTATATGGTAATGTCGTGCAGGCCAGTTTGGTGGTGCATAAATTGTTGAAAAATGGTTATTTATTTTCTTGTTTAACACTCATTTTTATTAGGTGTACTTGTTCTCAGAATTTGGTTGAAAGCAGAGCAGCAACCAAGTGCAGTCAAGAACACTGCTTCATATCCCATGGCTCTTCACAAAAAAATCTTTCCTGTAGTTTTGAGCTGGTTCTAGAACTGTGAAAGAACAAATAACTTCCAGCAGCTAATGAAGCAAAAGAATATTCTCAAAGTTAAAGAAACAAAAAACCCCTGCACACTGGGGACAGGGTGCTGCTGTCCTGGAACTCTGTTTGTTTTCTGCTTTGATAACTCAAGACATTCATCACATTACCCAGTTTCATTTCAGGGATTTTATATTAATCTCAAACTTGTCTTAAAAACTCAAGCCTTTGAAAGAGGCATTTCTCCACTGATAGAAACCAGGTCACGCTGACTCTGGTTTAACACAGTAATTCAGTCCTTCTCTTTTCTCAAAAGCTCAGTACTGCCACCAAACCTTCAGTTTAAACATCAATTTTAGGTCTGTGTAAAAGACGGTTTGAAGCAATCACAAAGGGAAACGGGAGTGTGACATTATTATTGCATCCTGAGCAGGCAAAGAAGTGAAAATTTGAAAGGCCCTGGAACAGTCCCAAATTCCCTAACAGTCCTTATGAAGGTGGCATTTCTTTTTTTCCTACCTACTCTCAGAAGGCCAAACTTTTCCTACAAATCAAAGGTGCACACTCACAGAGTCATCCAGGGAGGCACTGGTTTACTTTGGTTTTTTGTTACGTCTTAGGTCTTTTCAAGACCTGGTCCTTCCCAGTTCAGAAATTGCTAAAAGACTGAATTCTGCTCTAGACGAGCTACATCACAAATACCTATTAGTGAAATCTTATATTCCACGGAAGAATTATAAGTTATATATTATATATACTATGGTTTTCTAAACTGATAACCAGAACCCTTGAAAAATAAAGGCACTTATTATTTTTACTTAGGGCAAGACACCTACATATGAATTTTTTTTGCCTTAAGATAAAAATTCAACACTTAGAAACAACTATTACTACTCAGACTATGTTGTTTAAACAATGAGAAAAGAATTTTGTGGTCAGAGCTTAATAAATTGAGAAGAAGTAACAGTAGAAGCATCTTACAGATATCTAGTAAGACCACCTACAAAGCCCAGTCATGAACATTAGGAAAGTGACACCACAAAGTTAAAAAACAGATAAACCCAAACCTACTGTTCCTGGAGATGACAATGACTGCTGCAGATTTACACTTAAAAAGAAGTAACTTCTTCACCAGAAAATTTTTAATATTAAATGGTAGGAAATCCAACTTTTGAGATTATTTTACTGCTGTAAGCAACACTCAGAAAGATAACTTGACTGCTGTTAATAGCATAAGCTTTTTTTCCTAAGCTTACAAAAAGATTGTTCCTACCAGAGACGTATCTTCCACGTTCAATACTGCACACTGAGAACTGGCCCTTTTTCAAGGGTAAGAGGCAGAATCACACATCCCCCATCTCCAGCTTGTGGGTTTTGTAATTAACTCAGGTCTTTTTGGCACCTCCTGGCCCTGCACTTCTCCAGCTGGTACTACCTAAGTGAAGAGGTTTGGGTCACTGCCCAACAGGAAGTGGACCTGAGCCTAATGTCAGGCACCTTTTCAACACAAAGTAATAGCTGGCTCTAAAGCAATGCATAATACTGACAGATGCTGAAGCATTTAATACAGGGTGAAACCCAAATACACAAGAAAGACCTTGGTGTCTTTTCTGGCGTGGCAATTACAAAGTCACACCGGGCATTTCATACAGTAACAAGTTAGGGACTCCTCCCCAGTTAAGCTGTCATCAAAGAAAGCAGAATGTCTAGAACTGGGACTTGGATTAGACTATTACATGTGCGTTTCCCATGTGGCATTTCATCCAACAACACTTCTACACATTTCACGCTGAACAGTCACTAAAGCTTTATGTCTTTCATCACTAACCTAGAGGCTTTGTCCTGCTTTTAGTTCTCTTGAACTTATGTTCTTGGCAGACAGTGAAATGACAAATTTGGAGAATGCCAAACATGGGCAAGAACATGATCATCCAGAAGAAAGCATCCAGAGAAATTAATGAATATCATGAAATACACAAGAAAGATGCAGCATGGTTCTTGTTGACAAAGTGCTAGGCAAGGATGCATGCTTTTTTCAGAACTGTTCAATTCAATAGTGGAAGCAATAATGAGTTTCAAACACATCTGAAAGCAACAAGCCATGCTATGTAGCATGATGGTAAACTGCTTTAGGTTCACAGCTGATACTGATCTCATTACCGCTGACCAAGCAGAACTTCCACAGAATAACAGACAGGGTAGTGTAGGGGTGGGGAGAAAAAAATTTTTTTACTGATGAAGAGACAAGGCAAAAAGTGTGGAAATCAAAACACAAGAAGACAGTGATATTTATAACAGAAATAAATGGGAAAAAAGAAATGTCCACTTTGGAGGATCAGTGTCAGAGAACAACAGGGAAATTGAAGACATCTGAAGTGCAGAAGAACAGCTTGACTGGTTGTCAAATTACTTTGACCATGCTGCAAGATCAAAAGGTTAAAGCCACGTACCTTACATGAGAATCCCCATGTTCACAAACCACAAGCTCAAACTGTGCTATGCAACATTCCCACTTACTCTGGAGGCTGAATAATACTGGTGAGCAAAAGGTACTATTGCAGAAAAAAGGTGGCTAAAAATACTGCAGAAAGTGTAAATATTTCAGAAGGTAAAATACATGGTTAGAACTCTTGTTTTTCTGTGAATGAGCTCTA